CTGCCAAAATATAAGTTTGATTATAATTCAATTGAAATTTTGTTGCTCTGCGACCAAAATTTTATTTTTAGTTGTGATTTTTATTTTTATCATTATTATTGTGTTACTACTAATCTACGTCTAACATTTTCATGCGAGGAAATCCCTCTACTAATTTTTCTTTGGACGCAGAAATTGAAAGGACTCTACATGAAAGACGTAGACAAGCTAGACTAGTAGCTTTAGAAGAAGAAAGAGTTTCTGTTCATTCAGATTCAGGTTCGGAATCAGAAAGAGACACTGAAGCTATGGCGGATCTCCCACCAGCGGAGAGACTTCTTGGAGATTACGGTGGGGCGAATGCACCAGCTGAAAGGTTAACAATTGTAAACTTACCAGTGAATATCGCAAATTTCCAACTGCATCTGAGCACAATCACTCATCTTGAGAGGAGACCTTTCTCCGGAAAGGTTAACGAAGACACAAATAAACATCTACAGAGATTTCTGACGATGAGCACTACTCTCATGATTGAAGGACACACAGATGAAACAAAAAGGTTAAGAATGTTTCCGTTCACTTTATCTGAAGAAGCTAAAGAGTGGTTTTACTCCTTACCAGCTGGAAGTATTACTACGTGGGAAGAAATGGAAAGAGCCTTTCCAAATGAGTATTTTCTTGCCTCTGTTTATATTCGCAAAAGATATGATATTATGAATTTTAAACAGAGGGAGGGAGAATCACCCTGAGATTCGTATAAAAGGTTCAAACGGTTACTGGTTACGTGTCCTACCCACAATCTGGATCAAATTGAACAAATGTAGATGTTTGTGAATGGTCTTAAGATGAAGACTAAGCAGCTAATCGATACAGCATTCGGTGGCTCATCTAACTTTACAACAACCACTGGTATCAAAAAAATCATTGAAGTCGTCGCTGCAAACGAGCATCTAGAATTGTATGACCGGAGTGTGAGTAAGTCGGAAGAAATAGTTGACTTGAAATTGGCCATACAAGTTGTGAAAATGGAAGAGAAAATAAAAGATGAAGTGGAAAGAAGGCTTAAGGGAATGAATGTTAGTACTAAAACGGTAGCTCAAGTTCAACCTGTCCAAGTTGTGAGTTGTGAGATATGTAGTGGACCACACTTTACCATGCATTGTGTGGCAACTCAAGAGCAGGTTGAACAAATTAATATGTTGAGGTAGAACAATCCTTATGCCAACACATACAATCCAGGTTGGAAAAATCAGCAACAATATCAATAGGCTCCTCAAAAAGCAGAATGGGAGATAGCTATTGAAAGAATGGCAGCTCAAAGTATGCAATTCCAAGAAGAGACCCGTAATGTTCAAAGGAATAACACAACTTCCATCAAAAATCTTGAGGCGCAAATGGGGAAGATAGCCCAACACCTCTCAACACACACCCAAGGAACCCTCCCGAGTGCGTCAGTATCGAATCCGAAAAATTAAGAGAGTATTAATGTTGTCATAACAAGAAAACAGAAAATAATAGAAGAAGAGGAAACAAATGAGGATGAATGCATAAAGGTGGAACTTGAGGTAAGAGAAAAAGTGAAACAACCAGAAGAAGCTATACTATCTGAAAAACCAACTGGGGAGAAAAAGAAAGAGGAGTTTAAACCGAAAATCAAACTACCGTTTCCTCAAAGAGTTACAAAGAAGGATGGGAAAGAGAAAGACTTTGGAAGGTTCAGTGCAATGTTCAACAAATTCGAAATCAACATGCCGTTTTTTAAAGCACTCGAGCAAATGCCTTTGTACAAGAAACTCATGAAAGAGGTTATAGGTAAAAAGAGATCAATGGGTGAAGAACCGAAGACCACAACTGAGCAATGTAAGGAAATATCACAAGAAAAGAGAATCCTCATCAAGAAGAAGGATCCTGGACCAGTTTTAATCCCTTGTACTATAAAAGATAGAACCTTTAAGAAAGTCTTAATTGATTCAGGTGCTAGTGTGAGCCTCATGCTGTTATCGATTTTCAAAAAGCTGGATATTAGAAAAGTGAGCGATACGGGAACAAGCTTGAAGTTTGCTGACCACACAACTAAGATGGCGTATGGGTTAGCAGAGGATGTACTGGTGACAATCGATAACTTCACTTTCCCAGTTGATTTTCAAATCATGGATATACTAGAGGATGAAGAGGCTTCGATCATACTAGGCCGACCGTTCTTGCTTACTAGTCGGTGCAATATTGATGTGGAAACAGGTACGATCACTTTGAAATCCTTTGATGAGGAAATCACTTTAAAAGCTCTAGAGGTTAGGAAGAAAGGTAAGGAGAAAGATGTTAAACCTTCATTTGGGAAGATCAACACAACAAAGAAGGGAGAACGATCAACACAATTTCAAGTTGCTCTTATCTCTGAACCTGGCCAATATTCTGCTGCGAAGAAGTCAAGCAATAGAGTATGGAGGCTAAAGTACCCCCATAACAATGGGGAGTCGACCGTCGAGCCATGCGATGTTAAACGAAGCGCTGCGTGGGAGGCAACCCACAAAATTTAAGAATCTATGTTTTTTTTTCTTTTTGTGGTTATTGTTTTTGCAGGAATAAACGAGAGTTTGCAAGGGAAAACGTGGAAGCAGCAAAGAGGTGTTGCATTACCTGTCGACCCCTCTGTGAGGATCTCTGCGAGTACACCTCTTCTTCTCTTGTTCTTGAACATTGAGACAATATTTAGTTCAAGTTTGGGGGAGTTTTTATCGTTTTGATTTGTCAATTTAAATACCTTTTTATTTTAAGTTCGGTAAAAATCACGTCGAATTCGCCCCTACGAAGACCGTAAAATTTTTCTTGTGAATGGTTTGTGTGTAAGGTAGTCAAGAAAGTATTTAGAGTTCAAGGGAAGAGGAGTTTGAACTAAGGAACTTGGGAAAGTTTGGAAATTGAGGTATAACTTGAACACCCTAGGTTCCCCGAAGTAAGGAAACGAGTCCAACATGTAGATTTGTGCCATAGTACTTGGATTTGAGAAGTATTCCCCGATTAATTCAGTATGATAGTCCGGCATGATTAAAAGGATTGCATATAGTGATTATGAGAATGACTCGTGGCACCAAAAAAAAAATTTGTTTGTGAATAGTGACGGTAAAGACAATTAGTCCTTCTAAGTTGGGTAACCCTCACCCGGTTATTTAGCCTAACGGCGGTTGAATCTCTATAGTCGTCCCAAAGTGGACTAATAAACGCCTTTGAGCGAGAAAATAATAATAAAGGTACCACGGAAAAAGTCTCGAGTAGAATTGTACAGGCCTTAATCTGATTATCCGAATGAAAGGGGTAGAAAATCGAAGAAAAGACTTAAGCCCAAAGTATAGTTGGAGAGGTGGCCGAAAGGGGGATTTAGGTCCGTGATTTTACCGCGGTATGTGTTTATGTAATGCCTTCGTTAACGGATGAGTACCGAGAAATTTGGTTTGAGTCAATCAGAACTAAGACTCATGTATGAGTATCGACACGCCTTACACCCTGATCACTTCACTTGATGTGTTGTTTGATTTAAAAGTATTTATCCAAGCTTTTTGCTTGAGGTCAAGCAATGGTTTAAGTTTGGGGGAGTTTAATCAGTGGTTTTTACACGTGATTTTACCGTTTGTTTCAGTTAATCAATTCTTATGTCCTATCACATTTTATTTTCTTTTATTACATTTTACGCGTCGATTTGGTATTTTCACTGTTTCTAGGTTCAGGTAAACAGTGAAGGAGAAGCAGAGCAAAAACCGGGGGAAATGGCAAGAATTCGGAAGAGTTTTATTATGGACCAGGAGCCTGACATGGGTGCCCATGTCCTGTGACACTGCCCGTGTCAGGGCCCCTGAAGAAAAAGATAGCCAACCCAAGAACCAGCAGCCTGACACGGGTGCCCGTGTCCTGTGACACTGCCCGTGTCAGGGCTACTGAAAGTAAAATCTTTAGCAGTCTGCACGGAAACGATCATAACTGGAGTTCCGGGAATCCGTTTGAGGCGTTCTAATAATCGCCGGAAAGCTAAGAGAGAGAGAGCTACGACTTTCGTGTTGGAGTTGAAGTTAGATACGGAGCAAATTTTTCCAGATTTTCGTTTGAACCTGCAGCATTAGTTTTTTTAAGTTTTGGTGTGCTATCTCGGAGGGCAGTTTAGGCATCTCGCATTGTAATTTGAATTCTGGTATATTAGACGCATCGTGAATTGAGAAAATGGGCTTTTTTGGGACAGTAAATAATTTCATGAGAAAGATTGGAGCAATCAAGGATTTAGGAAACTGAAGGTCCTCATGAGCGAAAGCGATTGAAGATCAAGGCAACCAATTATCTTGTAATGTTTAATCTTATTGTTGATTTTATCTTTATTATTATGAGTAGCTAAACTCCCCAATGCTAGGGGGTGTCCCTGAATTGACTCTGTAATAACCTTGTTTACTTTGAATAATGGATTTCACTGCTTTCTAATCATCGTTGTTATTGTATAATTTTCTTATATGACAAATAAGGATATGATTTACGGTTAACCATAGGTTTGGAAAAACGATTATTAACGCGTTTATACGATAATACTATAGTAGATATTGCCTAGGAATGGGGATACCCTATAGTAACCATAATGTTTTAGATAAAAATTATCGCTGGATATTGTTCCTATACCGCCAAGGAATTGGGGCATAGGGAGAATACCAAAGGCTTTTCTGCTAAGGAATTAGAGTCAACTAATCTTTAAAACCAGTAACGATTGAATTAAGCAGTGATTTCAGAAAACTAAGGATTAAGGTTATTACAAGGCTTTTCATACACCCTACCCTAGCATGCTTCTCATAACTGTTTAAAACCTTTATTTACTGCTTTTTGCCTTCTGGCTTTTATAATTCTAAGAAAACAAACCAAAACCCCTATTACTTTTTGTTCAATTGCATTATTATAGAAATTGTGTTCATACGCAGTCCGCGAGATCGATATTCGGGGAATTTACCCCTATTACTACATCGGTAAAAGTAGTACACTTGCTATTTATCCGGTCAGCAACATTGCTCGAGTCTATTCAAGGCATAAACAACAGTTAACCAAAATAAGAAATTCCCAGCCATGTCATGAATACCACAATGGATGAATTGGCTGGAAGAAGTAACAATTTTAACATCAACTTCATTTGAATCCCAATACATCCAAACCCTGCCATTAGCATGATGTTGGTAGTTGTCTGCAAAGTTGCCCCGCAGCATGAGTTTATTCCGGACGGAAGGCACATTTTTCACTTTGACACGACTTTCTAGTAACGCAATAATTTTTGGACGAAGTTCTAGGAGACGGGAGTGAATCTCCCTAAGCTTGCCCACGTTGTTTAGCCCCCGCACATTCCACGCTGCTAGCATGGATCACCGTTGACCAACATTGTTGAGACATTCATATCCCCCAGCAGACCAAATCCATTGGTACAATTTAATAGTAGTTTATCCTTTGGGGTGCCCTTGTGTTTATCCGTTCCACTTTTGGTACTTGTAGTCCAGTTCTCAGGATTAACATTCTTCCATATGTTTAATTTTGTACCTTCAACTGTTGGTGTATTACTAGATTCAGCAGCAGCCGTAGCTGGTGTCAGCAGTATTGCATCATCAGTTCTTACATGTTCAACCTTCTATTTCTGTTTTGGCTGCCAGACTTTGACAGGTTTTGGAGCCTCACATATGTGACCAAACCGTTGACATTGCTCACAAAATTTCGATTTCCACTCGTATTCAATAGGTTGAATCAACTTAGCACCATTTCGATCATTAATAATGATTTCCTTTGCCAATGCTTGGGTAACATCCACTTCGACTAACAGTCTTGCATACGAGATTTGAAACTTATGTGCAGCACATTCGTCGGTTGTAACAGGGTTCCTAATTGTGCTTCCAATCTTACTGAGGCTCTTTTCCCCCCAAAGGTGGAGCGGTAGATTATGGAGTTTGATCCATGTTGGTAATGTACGCAACATATCATTCTTCAGATTAAATCCGGGCTGCCATTCTCTTAATAACATGGGCATATTTTAAATTGTGTAGGGTCCTTTCAGCATCACTGTATCTATATCCCTGTGCGAATGAAATTTGAGGATAAAGTATCCTTCCTCGTGGTAGTGTATATCAGGAAGTTTGATGAAATTCCACATTCTTTCCATAAAATTCTTCATTGTATTCATACTGAGATCCCCTCCCAGCACATACATGATCAAAGAACTTTCCCAAAATTTGAGTTCTGTTTCAACATCCTCGTCTTCAATAACAATTTGAATCTCCCCGGCAACAATTGATGGGGCGACATATTTCATCGACATGCCTTTAGTTGGATTGCGATTGTCGTTCAATACGTCAACCCAAAACTTGCGTTGTTCCTTCGGTTCTTGCGCATCTGTTGAGTTAATTGATTCTAGGGTTTTAACTTTATCACCTGTTACAGAATGTTCTTCCGTACCCTTTTGTGCTTCCATGTCTTGTGAATGTTGCTTTACATTTAATTCGTCGTTGTCCTGGCTTCGCTCTGGTTGAGTCGTCTGAGTAATAGTCTGCTTCGGTGGCAGTGACACCATTTTTTTTTTGCTGTCCCCTCCCCGTGAGCTTCCCATTCTTTTCATTAAGATAGAACTATGTTTAGATAAAAGCTATTAATAACTAAAAATTTATTAAATACACTCTGCATGTTATTAAAGCATATTTTTAAGTAACTTTGAATTAAATTTAATTAAAACCCATTTGAAGTACTCTTTTCAAATCTAGTTGCATATAAAACAAATACAAGTTGTTACTAGTACGTATATTACTTTAAAATAAAACCATTTATATTGTTTTCTTTGTGACTAAATTTATATAAATTTTCATGTGCACACTCGCACACGGAACTACGTAAATGTAGTAACATTTCCACACATAAAACAAATTATGTGGTCGTTGAGTCAGAATGTAAATTAAAATCAAAGAAAATAATTACACTATGCGGAGATTAACATATTTAACTATAATTTCATTCCTTTCAACAAAATATGCGTATTTTGACTTGACTCATGGACAGCCACATAGCCTTTGTCATCAATATTCAACAGTCATGACATGTAAACACTAGAATTTTGTTGCCTTAATATTTACTCAGAAAAAAATTAGAATAATTGATAAAAATAAAGATAAAATGTACCTATTTTATTAAAATTATTTCATCATATTACATTTTTCAGTTTATAAAATTGTTAAGATAATAATTAATTTAAGGGTGAGTAGTATAGCGTAATTATATATGATAATTGAGTTAGATAGATGAAATTAATCTTTGATGATAATATTTATATTAATTTAAATACATTTTTTATATTTATACATTAATAATTTTTAAAAAATAATAATTAACCATGTTAATTTTAATATGATTTTTTTAAACAAAAACAATAGATTAGAGAAAACAAAAATACAACAGAAGAGAAGATTAGACCAAAACCATCTTAATGATTAAAAAATTTATAATTAGGAAACCTCAATTTGTTTTTAACAATAGAAGGAATAAGATTCTGATAAAGAATAAGGGTCATTCGCGACTTATCCCAAGGCAAATGTAAAGAAGAATTAAGTGTCAAAGATGTTAATAAATCTACACATTGATTTTCTTCTCTGAAAATATTAGTGTTTTGGACTGGGTCAAGACTTGTCATTCCGCTTGGCAGGCCCAACCCAAGGCTACTGTGATGAGGTCCAACAAGACCCAATTTTCTACGTCGGGGAGGAGCCTTAATAAGGTACATGCCCCGGGCAGAAGACCTCCGGACGGGGAGGCCCACAAACTTTTCCCACATTCTCCACGTATCCCCCACGCAGGGACACGTCATCAGACAACTACCCGCTTCCGAGAGAGACGGTCAACCCACACCGAAGATCACAGGGCAGTTGATCCAGGGCGAAGACCACGTGCTGATCTTCACTACGCCACGTAAGCCATGTCAGTTACTTGTGTTGGACTTGGCAATCCAGCCCAATGCAATGTAACCGTTGGCTATGTGCTGGGGTCATATTATAAATACTCTCTTTCAATAGAGGGTTAAATATTCTATTCTACACACCTTTTCTCTGTACTTGCTCTCTAGTTCCGGTACTTACTTAGGCATCAGAGCATTTTGCAGGTGCACCCCCCTTTTTCGCCTCCACAACTCCGGTGAAGACAGCAGATCACAACGCGTGACAGGCCATTGGATCTTTCTGATCAGGTGAGATCAATTAGAAATATGAAATCTTAAATGTCTAATTTTGACTAAACAGTTAAGCGAGATGGTTATAATATGCTATGAAACCGCATTGGGATCTTAACAGCCAACAAAACAAAAGAAGAATCAGTTTCAAGCCAAACAATGTTCCAACCAAAACAAGTGGCAAAGTCAATGACTTTAATTACTTCAAAAAGCTCTGCAAGGATCGATGAATAGCATACTAGCTTTTCAGCAAAACCAAAGACAAAGTCTCCCAAATGATTTCTAAACAATCGGATGCTTCCAACAGTCAGATGCTTCCACAAAACTTCAATTATTCTCGGTGCGGATGCAGCTTGACATTGAAGGATTTGATAATAATGAGCTCATGAATGAAGGAGTTAGCCATTTTTGTGGTAATATTTCCTATGAATGCAACTCCAATAATGATTTGATTGAGGGTCCTCTTCCAATGCTTAAAGCCATTGTGGAATTTGACATGATTGCGGGCCATCTAAATGGTGCCGATAATGTGAACAATGAAAGCTTGAATAATTACTATGCATTGAGGGCTCTAGTTCCTGTCACAAATTTCCATAATGCTTAAAATGTTAGACAGAAGAGGAAGCTTTATCATATTGAAAAACCAGTGCCAAATTTGAAATGAAAAGAGTAGTGAAAGAATGCTCCACTGATATATTCCTTATTGGAGTTCAAAGGCTGCACATCGAAGGATTCTAACAGCCACTCAACATGAGATTATCATCTGTTGGCAAGCGATTATGGATTAATGATAATCCACTTTTAGTGTGTCATTATTGTTTCTTTTGTTTTATGTTTTTATGATGAATTAAGAGTTTATTTATTTAATTTTACTGTTTTAAGCTTGTTTTGCTTTGAGAACAATAGGTGCTCCTTTTTAGTTTTCATGTGTGTGTTATTGAATTGCAAGGCCGTTTTAAGGGAAACTGAGGCATGCTTGGACTAGGCAGTATCTGAGAGATAAAGCTGAAAAGAGAACGAAGATTTTCTTAAATATCATAAGTAGGAAATGGCTAAGAGCATCGTGCGTGATCATTTCCAGGGCTTACGTGGAAGAATTGTGCTTGGAAGAATTGGAAAATCAAATGGATAAGATCAATTGTACAAAGAGACAAATAAGTAGTACAATGGGGACCACCACTGCAAAAATGCACCCTGCACACAAATGCCGCTTGCACCTCTGCGCCACTGCCTGTTGCAGCAGCCTACAATGGATAGAAAGAGAATATGATGATTTGAATTTGGGTCTGTACCATTGAGAAGAGAAGAAGCTGAAGAAAGAATCACCCATTGTCACACCATCAATTGACAGACCAATTAAGGACTTTGATTTGAATCAAACTCACCATGAGGATAAAGGAGAAGACAACATTCTCAAAAACATGATTAATGAGGCTGATAAAGACAATGCTGAAATGCATTCCACCCTATTGAAAGAAGCTGATACAGAGGACAGTGTGGAGGATATGAACATTGAAGAAAAAGAGGTTCTTGAGGAAGTGGAATAAGTGTTAGAGGAAAATGACAAAGTTGAAAATGGGGTATTTGACGAAGAGAAGTACTTGTCAAAGTATTATTCTAGTACAGAGGAGTCTACTCATGTGTCTTACAAGCTGGAACCAAAGGGCGGACTCGGTGGTAAGAAGATTGACGAAGAGGTTGAGAAAGAGATGAGCGAAGGCGAGACTCTAGTCCCACTCTTGTGATCACTCCAGAAGCGACCTCAATCAAAGCAACTCCTATCAAGGTAACCCTAGTCAAAAGCCCCAAAAAGAAGAGTCCTTAGAAGAAGTCCCCCACCAAAAAGAGTCCAAAGAAGAAGGTGATTAGCAAGGAAGTTGCTGCAAAAGAAACAGAGGAGGAGACTGTCGTGCCTGAAGTCATCCCTGTAGATGACAAAGATGAAGATCCCAAGCCAACAGAAGTCAAAGGTGGAGAAAAGAAGGAGTCTAGGAAGAAAAAGGCATAAGACATTATTGTTCACAAGAGCAACAAGCTTCACACCTAAGTGGTATCCCCTGAAGGTGAGTGCAGGCTTGCCCCGGCCCATCAAGCTGACAGTGAGGACCCTGTCCTTACTTTAAGTTTAGGGGAGAGGTGGCTTCTAGCCTAGTACTTGATCTTCACTATCCATTTTCTACATTTTCCTTCTGTTTCTATATTAACTGCTAGTTGTATATTTTCATGTTTGGATATATTTAGATATGTTCTTGCCTTGGATTTGTTGACCATTAATTTGGTCTTTGTTGTTTGAATGCATGGATTAATCACTCGTTTTAAGTTAATTTTAATTTTAATCATCTTGTTTGCATGGTATAGTTAGTTTGAATATTTTAGTTATTTTGCATGTTAGAAGAAGAAAGAGAGAAATAGCTAATTACAACCCCTTGATCAAGAAAAATTCTTTTTGACATTCTGAAAAAGAGATTTACCTGGACTGTGATTTTTTTTTGGAAATAAGGCTGATCAAACTGATCTAGAGATTTGCTGCAGAGGTTGCTGATAACCTCTGTCACGCCTTTGGTAATTGGTTGAAAAAGAAAAGCCTTTCTAAGAAGCGGATTTTTTTGAAAATGAGAAACAAGTGGGATCATGAGGAATCACTAAAGGGAGGATAACACTGCTCAATTAAGACTTAAACTATTTTCAAAGGACACACCACCCAAATTAAAGAAACACACTAAGTGTGTAAGGAAGTAGCCAAGGTGCACTTCAAATACAAGTTCATGTGCCCGAAACTAGAAAAACAACTAGTGTCTTCATCACAATAACAGGTTGGACTCATTACAAGTTATATCTCATGTAGTGAAAAGGTGAAACATTATTTTAAAAAAAGTGGAAAGTGTGGTCCTTGCTATTAATGAAAGAAGTCAAAAGAAGATTTAGTCAAAACCCCCACTTGAAACCCAAAACATAACCCTTGGAGCTCAGGCTGAATCAATTAAAATCACTATTAGGCTAGGTTGTTCTTCTGAAGAGTACTGGCGTGACTGCAAGAGTCTTATAAACCCAAGCATGCATTCGCTTCAGATTAGTAGTAAGGCGAAGTTGTGCCAATTTTTGAAATGGTCCATCAATCTTAAAATCTGAAGTGTCTCATCATTCATATGTTTTGATATAACTTGGTTGTAATTAGTATTTTCTTTTCTATCATTCTCGGTCGTATCACATGAGGACAAGCGATAGTTCATGTTTGGGGGAGTGATAATCCACTTTTAGTGTGTCATTATTATTCCTTTTTATTTATGTTTTTATGATGAATTAACAGTTTATTTATTTTATTTTACTTTTATAGCTTATTTTGCTTTGAGCATAATAGGTGCTCCTTTTTAGTTTTCATGTGTGTGTTATTGAATTAC